AAAATGTGGCCACCACGAGAAGATTCTGTCATGTTATTTTCTCATTTCAGTATTTGACCTGTTACGACAAATATTCACTGACAAAGTAGTTTTGTATTGGAAAATTGTTGCTTACTTGACTTCCATCTATAATTTTTCTACAGATTACACTGGACTGCAATTCAGACGAAATGCCACAAGTTGACAAGATGGTGGAGATGATCCAAGAGTGCACATGTAAGGCATGCCACGCAGAGCCAAGAAATTCCAAACCGATTGAAATCTAAAAAGCAAATTAATTAATCAAAAATCATTAAACCAGTCCATACGCGATATTGTGATGGCGCTTTTATAGACTTTATTAGTGGGACTCATCGTTCCATTTTTTTTATCAAATAATAATGAATTCCTCAGGGTTAACTTTCATTTAAAACGCCTTACCCCATTTGCTATGTAAAGTAAATTTATGACATGTGACTAAAAATACGCCCAATCTAACACGTCCTTTGTGACGCTATGATTTATCGTGCATGTATGTACAGATACGCTTTATTGTGATTATAGCGTATTCCGCCAGATTGAAAACAAAGTCAAAAATCACTACGCCTCCTGGGGGCGCTCTACTCATCCCAAAGCAGTCGTGCATATGGTAGACTGTCCAATCATTATTACAAAACGGAAATTACACATTATTATTATCTACTCATTTTACAAATTCCACAAGTCGGGAATCGTTTTGAATTTTGGTTAAAATGAACAAAACATAAAATGGCCAATGTTTCCGTGCAAATTGTATGTATCTCTAAATCATTAAACCCGATTCTGACTATATAATGAACGTAGAACAAATGCGATCATAATGTCTCTAATTACGAAAGAGCAAGTAAATCCGTATATTTCAGAGGAGATCGAACCCCATCAACTTTTCGACAATTTACAAACATGAATATTATAGTATGCCAAATTTATAATGGTTACTTTAGCATTTGTCAATATTTTATTGAAAAACTAGTTATATTCGAGGATAGAGAAGAAAATCAGAAGTTTCCTGTGAATAAACTTGTTAGCCTATTGATAACAAATATCAGTGATTATGA